CAAGGTGCGTTAGGGCACCTGTTTTCTAATGACTCTGGTTTAATTAGTTTGCATCGCCAAAGATCGGGTAAGGGCTCAAGTTACCTCAAGGAGAAGGTGTTAGGTACTCCTCGAGGTCCACAACTGCGGGTCCCGGCCGAACTTATGTTATATGGGTTAGTCTATATGATCAAATAAACAAAGAGAGAACAAATTTAAGAATTTCATTATAAAAGGAGCTTGAACAGAGGGGTGCAACTATTTTTTGATTCTGGTAAGAAGAGAAAGAAAATGGGGGGTCCTAAGTTTTTTAGCCTAAAGGATCACCCTGTGCAACATAAATAATATTTCGAAACTCCCTCGAGATAGGGTGTTACTCATATTATTAAGCAGGCACATACTATGATCTCCTGCTACCCGATTACTATGTTAAAGTTGTTTACCTAAGAGTACTCTAATTCAATTCTAAATCATACCCTATACGTGAATTACCCGTCCCACACCTATGGTCCAGGAAGTTTTGGACCTCTATATGGATGGTTCTAGACCTTATCTAGGTTGCTCAAAAATGCAAAAAGCTAGGTGAACACCCAAAGAATAGATGCAATTAAAGGTTCACATTGACCTCCACACTAAAGCAGCAAGCGCACGCAAAACATATATCAATTAGGAATTGGCAGAATCCAAAACTTTAAACCTATGGACATGCTTTCTAGGCGATCAAAGTATGCATGCAAATTTCATATGCAGGATATTGCTTATAGGCAAAATTATGCAGGATTACAAGCTGATTATTAACAAATTTAAGTTACCAAATCCCATATGTGATATCTAGGTGATCTATGCAATTAGGACAACAAAATTAGTTGGGAAGAGTCCCAGAATTATCCAGATTTTTCTAACAATGACGCTCAGAAACAGTGTTTGAGTAGTCTAATGTTAATCAATTAACAAGCAATTGTTCCGTATAGGCAGGATCTTTAACAGTTGATGATTAGAACTCGCTTAATTTATACTTAGTCCTATAAACAAGATTTATGGTGATCAATGCCATATAATAGCGAATGAAGTAATCAAAATCCTATAGGCATGATTTCTAATGAATAACTAAAGTAAATTGAAAGAAAGTTCGTTGCCATTTATTCCTATGGGCAGGTTTCTAGTGCATTTGAAAATAGTCATGCGGAGTGCTCACTTCTTATAGGCATGCTGTTTATAAACACGTAGCAGTAGACATAGCATCTGAACTCATGATTAATGGTAAACAAGTAATGTGTGTGTGCTTCTCCTAATGTCATGATTTCTACAGTGCTCATGTATCGAACAACACATATAGCAAACACATTGTCAAGTCCTACAGGCATGCTATCTACCTATTGTGCATGTAAATGTTAAATGCTAACCATTCCGTTTTACTAACACCCCAATCGTTTATACAAAGGTTATTACAGGCCAAATAATGAATAAAAGAGTACAAAGGTTACATAATAGTGATAATAGGACCACAACAAGCCTAAATAAAATAAATACCCAGCATTTTCTGGGCCTTCAATAACTCTTACATAGCATACCCAGTCCTTCAACAAAGAGTCACATTCAATACATGACTCAGAGATCCATAAAGGAGTTCAGAACTAATTTACTCAACCATAGCACCAAGTGTTGCACCATTTAAATCAGCCAATTCATAGCACATAACAGGGGAAGTGAAGTGAATAGGAAATGTTTGAGATTGAGGTAGTGACTAAGGACCAAGCCCTAGTGTGTCCGAGTTCACAAGGGTCTCAATTGGACCCCGAGCAGTGCTCGCACTAGGGAGGCAAATAATAGAACCTAGGTAACCTTGGCTTTCAGCCGGCTAAGAATGAAGAGTTCATAAGTTGCAAGTAAGGAGAGTGGACAGAAGTTAAGGGATACATTCATATCCTAAAGTAGACATACCAAAAATGAGCATACAAAGTAACTAATTAAATAGGCCAGTAGGTTCAGCAAGATAGCAAAGCACCAAATAGAGAGCCTCTTGTTGAAAGAAATTAGGGTGGAAGCAGGTTTGCAAGATATACATAGATTATCATTCATGACACTAAACCAATTGAGACCTAAGAGGTTCAGATTAAGCTAAGCATGTATCCTAGGATCATGCTAATCCGTGTTTAGACATGATGGGGACACACATTGTGATAAACACTGAAAGAAATAGGGTATCAAATGAACAAAAGACAAACTGGGAAATATATTAGCATAAGAGCTGGATCATAGTCGATAGAAAATCGTTTTAATACAAATTACAAAACATTGTACTTGCAAGACAGACATTGCAGAGATTTGGGACAGTGTGAGATAACAAGCACATGTAGGTATTCTGGGATTGGCACAATAGACTAATCAACAAGAGAAGATCTAAGTTATGTCATAAAGCAAAATGGTTCAAACGGGGTAGAGAGATCAAGTTGAGATAATTATTAAAAAAGATCTCAGTCATCACTAATGGGGTAGGGGAATCATGCTGAGTAACAAAATAACAGGTGAATATGTCACTATTAACACAGGAAGTTCTGTCACAGGTATGAAACATTCACTATAGAGATTAAGGACAAAGCAAATAAGCATGTATAAGGGAACATCCAGACACGCATACACTTAAAAAGATCAGATTATCCAAGTCAAACTTAGAACTAGTAGCATTAGGAGGAAATTAAATGCGAACAGACTTAGAACAAAGTAGAATTAACAAAATCGTGCACAGAAGTAATCAGAAAATATATTAAGCCAGGAATTTCAGAGGTGAGAACACATGCAAATCAAAGACACATAGGGGTAAAACTGCAAGAGTCAAGTAGCTAAGTAGTGAAACGGACTACAATAAAGAACAAAAGATCAACAAGAACCCAAAAACCCCGATGCGTCAAAGTTCCCAAGAGCTTCGATGAACTCAGGGCAATACTCACACCAAGAACAGGAAACAAGATGCTAGTGGCCTTGGCTTTCAACCGGCCAGTACAGAATACCAAGCAAGAGAGTAGCAAAAACCCAAATTTAGTAAGAATCGATTTCAAAGTCTGTCCCAAAAGGGAAAATGAAGGGGTTTATATAGTCAAAAATCGAGCAAACATATAAGGAAACAGAATAATTTAAACAACAAACAAGGAAAAGAAACATGCAATTTAAGAGAAAAATTTGTAAACTCTAGTATTTAGGTAAAGTGAAAATCAACATAATCCAAACAAAATCGGACTCACAAAGTGTAGTATTAAACGTATATAGACGAAATAGTGCTCAAAATTAAAGATTCGAACCACTTTGGTTCGATTTCTGAAGATATTGCTTGCCATATTTATCAAGCACCTAGGTAACACCACAAATAGACAACCAGTACTAAAAGGATTCAAATATGGCAAGAGAATAGTAGTCGAATCCCATTATCAGTGGGATTAGGAAAGGGTTATAGAGAAGGCATCGATTAGGTTTTTTGGTGGGGGAGGAGCGTTTGAGGGCGGCTAGACAGAAACAATGGTCTCTATGGTTTGGGGATTGGGTTATAAGAGAAGAGGGGTTGAGGGTTGTGAGCTGTTGATCATTTTTTATCAACAACTGTGGTTTAAGGGGTCTGGGTCGGTTTTGGATTGGGCAGGGTCGCCTGGGATTGGGCTTCAGGTTTTGGGCCAGGGATTTGGGTTTGTCTGGTCCAAAAATAACTCAAAATTGGGCCAGCTCTTTTAAATAGAAATTAAAAGGGAAATAATTTAATAAAATAGCTAAATAAATATAGAAAAATGCTACTTATTCGAATACTTTAAACAATAATAGGAAACTATAAAAAATGTAAAATATTATTTTGACCTTATATTAAATGTCAATTGCAATAAGAATGCAAAATATAGGCTATTATTTCAAATTTATACGAATAGCCTAAAATACAACTGTAATTATATAAAAAATGGGGTAAGAATATTTTGAAAATGTATTAGTGATGCAAATAATAATTTTAGGTGATTAAGTCATCACAAATAATTGAAAAGAGTAATTACTGAATTTCTATGTAAATTAATGCAAGCAAAAATTAATTTAAAAAACTCTTAAATTATGAAAAAATATAAAAAAAAAATGCTTGTATAGATTTGTAAACTAAATAATGATGCATAAAATGCTGTTTTGAAGGCATGTGTATATATTTTTAAAAAATATGAGGGTAAAATTGTGTATCGACACTTTAGGCGACATATATGTGAGGGGAACTGCTCGTCTTCAAAACCCGGAGGTTGGACCATGTAGACTTCCTCTTCTAGGTGACCCTGCAAGAACATGTTGTTGACATCAAGTTGACATATGGGCCAGTTCTACGGGACAACAATCGAAAGCACCAAGCGCACAGTAGTCGATTTGACAACCGGACTAAAAGTACCATGAAAGTCAATTCCAGGGTGTCGTGTAAACCCCTTTGAAACAAGACGAGCCTTGTTGCGATTGATTGTCCCATTAGCTTTTCTCTTTAGCCTGAATAACCACTTGCAAGAAATAATATTTTTTGTGGGGTCATGTGGTACCAATTCCCATGTTTGATTATTCAACAATGCATCAAATTCACTTTTCATTTCTGTTGTCCACTTTGGTGTTTGTTAGCTTGTTTAAAACTAGTAGGGATGATGGAGGGGGATAAGCAAGCCATGTAGTCAAGGATTATTTTTGGTTTGTGAATGTTGTTCGGTGAACGAGTCACAACACGATTTGGAGGAGGGAGAGAAGGTTGTTGTGGTTCTGTGACTGGAAGGGGTTCGAGGAAGGTTGTGAGGGTTGCGGAATTGAGGCAGTGGTACGAGCAACAATGGTTTTGCCAGTAGATATCATTTTGGTCGTTCTACGACTATATACAATTGGAAAAGATGGTGATTGAGGCTGTGGGACTGAGCTGAATGGTTGTTGAGTATATATAGGTGTTGAGGAAAGGGGTGGTAATAATGTACATAGTGACTGTGGGGGAGAAGAGACATTTGAATTTCTTGGGATAACTATGGGCGATAAGATTAGGCATCATTAATATCAGGAGGAGCAACAGAATTTGTAGGAGAAGAAGTAGAAGACGTACCTGTAGTTGTCGATTTTATTAGAGCGCAGGCAGAAGACACGGTGTCTTTGTGAGCGCTGGTTTCTGTATTTGGGATAAGTATAGGGTTGGGCTATTCATTTATTATAGGAGGAGAAAAAGCAGGAGATTTTTTGGGTTAGTTTCAGTTAGGTTTTCCCACGCAAGAGTTTTAAAATTTAAGAAAATATTTGAAAAGATATTCTGAAAAGAAAATTATTTTCAAAATTTTTTACATCTGGAGATAAAAATATTTTGGAAGATTTCCGATCAAAACATTGATGATTATAATAATTTAAAGAATAACCTAAATAAACACAAGGAGTTGATCGTGGCGCTAAATTTTTTTTTGAATAGGGTTTGAGCCAGGGATAACAGAGACACCCGAAATTTCTAAGAAAATTATAATCTGGATATTTACCAAATAATATTTGAAAAGGTGATTTATTTTGTAAAAGTCAGGTTGGCAAGCGATTTATAAGATAAACCGCATGTTGAAAAGCAGAAGACCAAAGAGCCGGTGGAAGCGAAGTTTCATGAAGTAAAGTTCTTGTCATTTCAATAATATGTCTGTGATATCTTTCGGCAAGAGCAACTCTTTGGGAGGTGTATGGGGGAGATTAACAATGTTCAATACCCTGAGAACATAGGTATGGATCAAGACTTTTATATTCTCCACCACCAGCTGTATAGATAGAAAGAATTTTTGTATTGAAACGACGTTCAATTAATGCTTGATAATGTTTGAAAAGGTCTTTAACCTCAATTTTATTTTTTAATGTATATAGCCAAGTATATTTGGTGAATTGATCAACAAAATGCAGCAGTATAATTTTTTGTCAATCGATAAAATCGGAGAAGGACCCCATAGATCACTAAATATTGTTTGAACAGTTTGGTGCTTGATAAAATACTATCCTGAAAAGGATGGCGATGCCCTTATTCGATGAACAATAATTACAAACTAAAAATTTATCTCGCGTGTAAGGTTGTGAGAATTTATTCAAAACAAAATTTAAAACTCTTGCATACGGATGACCTAATCGACGATGCTAAGTGAAGATGGATGTGTTGGTGGAGGCCAAATGCGCTTTAGGAGAAGATATGGAAGGTGAGTTTGGCCACACATAGAGACCGTCTCTACTCCGACCGTGCACCAACAGATTTTGTGTTTCCAGGTCCATCACAGAAGAATGAAACGGAAAGAATTCAATAGAGGTTAGGTTATCTTGACAAAATTTAGAGACAGGGAGTAAGTTGCATTTAGTGCTAGGAGAACAGAGAGTATTAGAGTGTTTAAAAGCGTTATTTGATGCATGTAATTGAGTTAGACCAGTATGAGTTATTGGTATTTTGTTATCATAACCCATGGAGACCTGCTCCATTCCATTGTATTCCTGCAAGTTGTGAGGATTATCAGTTATGTGGTGAGATGCTCTAGAGTCGAGACTCCAAGGATTTGCTGATGCGTGCATTCCCGAAACATAGTTGGCCTTGGCCTCAAAATGATTGTGAGATCTGGATCTGTATATACTAGTAACATGACCTGGTTTGTTGCACAACAGGCAGCGAACACCATCATAAGAGTTGTTGGTGTTCGAAGATCGCCCCTGATTTTGTGAATTAATGCGATTGTTATATCGCCATTGTTGGTTGCTGCCATTGTTATTGTTGGAGCGACGATTGTTGCGATTGTTCGAGTTTCCAGATTTGTTGAATGTTATAGCATCAGCAGCAATCTGGCTAGGAGCTTTCTTTGACTCTTCTTGTCTAAGGATAATCTCATGATCAAGAAACTTCTTGTAGAGTTATTCATACGTAATAGTGGAGTCACGAGCACGAATTGCAGCAGAAATCTCACGAAACTTTGGTCCTAGACCACTCAGGATCTTAACAATGAGTTTAGAGCTTGTGATAGGGGCACCAGCAGTAGAGAGTTTGTCAGCCATGGATCGAATATGTTGAATGTATTCAGTGATTGGTTGGGAGTCTATTTTGAATCGTGCAAGTTGATCGCGAAGACTGAAAATTCTTGTTCGGGACTTGTTAGCATATGTAGCGTGCATTGCATCCCAGGCTTTTTTTGCTGAACTGGCAGCTGCAACAGCAGTAGCAATTGTTGGATCAACAGATGCCATAAGTGCATTTTGAATGAGTTGGTCTTGACGAAACCAAAAAAGCAAATGCAGGATTGGCCCTAAGGACTGTGCCAGTTGTGATAGTGCGAGATGGAGCAGGAGCAGACTCATCTAGATCACCATAAAGATCATGATCGTGCATAAGCATGGAAAATTGCGCCTTCCAAGTTGCGAAGTTGTGGCTGCCTTAAAATTTTATTGGCAATTGTGACGCATGATTAAATTGGACGACCATCACACCACCACTGTTATCAGCATTAACAACTCCAGTAGTGTTGGCCATTTGTGGAGGGTGGGCGGTACAGAAAAAAAATGGGATCTTATTCGTCAAAGTTTATTGAGGCTCTTGATATCATATTAGAACAAGAGAAGTACAAAAAGCTGATATGTTTATTGAATCAAAGCAACCTTTAAATACAAGAGTGAAAAACCAATTCCCTAAACTAACTCCTCTGGAAGAGGAGGACTAAACTACTTGCCAAAACAAACTCCTTGAATAAGGAGATTTATTTGAGAAAATAAAAGACTAACAAAATCCTAACTACTAGCTAAAGAATCGGTCAAAGCAGTAAAGTAGCGCGTGGTTAACTTATGCTGTAATACCATGTAAGTATTGAGTGTTAATTATGTTTAATTCATCCTCCAACAGTCAACAAAAACATACATTTATTCTCAAATTTTTTCATATTGATATCATAACTCTTGAAACAACAATTTTGTTCTAAATAGAATCTCATCCTTGCTATAAAACTGAACTGAATTGCTTCTCTGTTCTCAAATTTGGTAAAAAATAATACATAAACTCCTCGCAAACAACAAAAAATTACCACATGAGCCTCGTATTTATTTATGTAGTATAAGTAGTAAACGAGTTTTAACAATTATACTTGAATTGGGGGAACTCAATAAAGAGAACCCCTCCAAAAATAGGCGTATGCCACTATTTGCGACGTGCACATGGTATTCTTTAGTAAAAGGCAAAAGAATAGTTCGCTTTGTGCTCACCGCGTGGCTGCGTGAGAATTCTAAGCGACTCGTCTGGAATTTTATATTAGTCTAAGCACTTGGCAATTGCCTTCTCTTTCGATGTGGTATGGACACAGACCTCAACTGCATACCTCTGATTCTTTTTGTCAGCTCTCCAAGGCAATTAGCAAAACATTATATTAATCCACATTTTATAAGTTCATTCATTCTAAAGTTGTTGTCAGATGTACTTTAATTAAGGTTGCTTATTTCAATCTTCAGATGCTTATCAACATGACATAAACGTGTACTTTAATCGAAACTTATTATAGCTCCTTAAGTGAAGCAATTACTTTGATTTGTCTTTGACCGGTAGAAAATAGAATTGAAGAAAATGAAAAAGGGATTTTTGCTTCGTTTTCTCCTTGCTTACCCTGGAACATGAAAAAGGGAAAATCTGGTTCTTTGAAGTTGTTAGCAGGTGGAAGTTTAACTGAAAAAAGAAAACAACCTTTGAAGTTTAACTGGATTCTTATTGAATATTAAATATAGGTCATAAGATTCCACATTGAGTGGTAGGAGTATAAAAGCAAACGGATTTAGATAACTGACCAATGAGATAGAATAAAAAAGAAACCACACCAAAACAGGATTTGCTTAAGCTACCCAAAAGTTTTGTTGAAGAATTGGATAGGGGCCGCGCAGGCCCTCGCTGCCACAAATTATGACGTAGGCTCGATCACTTGGGCCGACCTTAAGCTAGCACCCCTCCAAAGTGCAATGGAGGTCACTAGCCTAGGCCATAAGTCTTGTTGATTGCCCATTGACCCCGTCCAGTTAAGTATGTTTCCATGAAGCTCCTCCCAGTGCTTTTATGTCTTTCCAGCTCCTTTCATTCCTTTGTCTCATTCGATGAGGGACATCACACATTTAAGCTTTCTCTACTTGTAAATAAAACAAATATTGTTACTTAATTATGGATGTTTTAAATTTAGACTAAATGTGAAGCAGTTAGCAATCACAAGGAATTAATAGCCATAAACCCATGAATCAAATTAGTGAGACATCAATCTTTGAGTATATGGAGTAGAAGCAGTTGCATCAGTCTATGGTTTCAAAATTTGTGACAACCGTAACCTCCAAATCTTGGATCCGCCTCTAATTGCATGGAAATACGCGTGTGGCATATCGAAAAAGGGCAGAAACAACAGCTATATGTGATAAACATAGTATCTATCGTTTCTGTTTGACCAAATAAACTCTTTGTTAAACTAATTAAGTAAAAAGATTAGGGGCTAATCCTAGTTAAAGATAATAACCATGGATGTAAAATGGGTTTGTGCATATAACATGGGACCACGTAAAAACATATTTAATGCAATACACATTAAATATTACGGTTGTTAATTAATGGGGTGAGAATAATGATAAGCAATAAATACAATAAATGACAATAAATGTAAATAGAGAAAATCATTCACCCAATATTAAATGAGGTGAATGATTTCTTTTTCTGACAATGATGTAAGACAAATGACTATGGGAATATTGGATACTTTCTTGGATCTAATGTGAGAAATGTAGAATAAATAGCAATGTTTGTATTTTACTAGAGAGTCAACTTTTCAAGAGAGTTCTTATATCGGACATACCCATAATTTGACCTAAAGTACAGACACATAAAATATTCAATGGAATATTCTTCCAAATATCTTATTACAAAACTAACAGTTACTGTTGACTTAAACATTTGACCTCGGCCATAACTAATAGCTCCGCAGTGAATTCCTTTAATCATTTATTCGACCTCGGTCTAATCGCCTCTTAGTAATTTCACCTCGTGCCGGGTTTCCTTTCAGATTTTGACCGATACAGTTGCCTCATTAAATTTTTCTCTTGATCCCAATGTATATAAAAAGTTAGTTGTGTGTATCTTCTTTAATCTTCTGATAGGTACTTTGTTAAAATAGGTACTTTGTTGTATTCTTGTAACTAGAGTGTTAAACTAGTTTAATACATCGTCCAACGATCAACCTAAAAATTAAGAACTAAATTGTTTCACTGCTCTCAGATTTGGTAAAAAGATACATCAAGTCCTCATAAAGAACGCATAAACCAAAAATTACACTAAGACTTTTAACTGAAACAAGAGTTTAACCACATTTTGTTTTAGTTTACATAGGAAACGAGTTCTAAATACTACACTAGAGTTGTAGGGGAACTCTAAAGAAGAGAACCCCTCCAAAAATAGGCGTATGCCTCTATTTGCGGCGCGCACACGGTATTCTTTAGTAAAAGGCGAAAGAATAGTTCGCTTTGTGCTCACCGCGTGGCTGCGTGAGAATTCTAAGTGGCTCGCCTGGAATTTTATAATAGTGTAAACACCTTGCGTTGGCGTTCTCTTCCGATGTGGTAGTACGGACACATACCTCAGTTTTATACATCCTTTTGCTTCGTTTTCCCCTTGCTTTCCTTTCTTTTACTCAATTTTACAGCAAGCAGAACATATAACTGAAACATGAAAAGAGGGATGTCTGATTATTTGAAGTTTTAACTGAAAAAAGAAGACTACCTTTGAGATTGTAATTACAACAAATATTTGCATTTGAAAGGGCAGTGCTGCAGCTGGGGGCTGCTCCCAGTCCCATTCTAGTTTTTAACCATTTAAAAGCATCTAAAATTTCAATTTTGTCTTTATATAGATCTCCTTTGCCTCCTCAAATCTTTTGAAAATATTTTAAGTTGTTAAGAAATGAGAGCAAAATAGAACAATATAGTAATAGAGACAAGATGTATAGGAGGAGAATGTAGAAGTTATCTTATTCAAGTGTGTTTCTTGTGTGTACTTCATAGGATAAAGAATACCATATTTATAGGATATAAGATACACGAAAGGTTATAAGAATACACCTAAAGGTTACAAATATTAAGTGATGAATTAACTAAGTACATGAACTCAAATGGTTCATGGAATAGGGATGTTTAGGAGTATTCAATGGACATCCACTTTAACATATTCATAACACTACCCCTTGGATGTCCATCTAAAAGATAATGTGCCTCGTTAAGACCTTGCTAGAAAAAAAACCCAGTAGAAAAAAGTCCACTGAAGGAGAAAGAGTACACACATCTTGTAACATTGAGTGCTGCCTCATTAAAACCTTACCAGGAAAACCCACCTGGGACAAAACCTTGGTTAAGGGAAAAAGAGTACAACGCGTACTATACTTCCCCTGATGAAAACTTTATTTGATATCTCGGAGACGATGCATTCCAATCTTATATCTCAGCTTCTTAAATGTTGATGGTGGTAATGCCTTAGTGAATAAATCTGCCAGATTATCACTTGAACGGATTTGTTGAACATTTATCTCACCATTTTGTTGAAGATCATGCGTGAAAAAGAGCTTTGGTAGATGTTTTTTGTTCTGTCCCCTTTGATATATCTTCCTTTTAATTGAGCTATGCAAGCAGCATTATCTTCATACAATATCGTTGGAATTTTTGTTTTTAAAGAAAGACCACACAGTTGTTGAATGTGTTGAGTCACTGATCTCAACCATACACATTCTCGACTAGCTTCCTGAATAGCTATTATCTCTGCATGATTGGAAGATGTAGCACCTAAAATTTGTTTTGTTGAACGCCATGAAATAGTTGGACATCCACAAGTAAATAGATAACCTGTTTGAGATCGGGCTTTACGTGTGTCAGATAAATAATATGCATCTGCATAACCAATCATTTGTGAATCGGATTCATAAGAATAAAGTAATCCCATAGTATCTAAAAATATGCTTAACACTATTCCAGTGTCTTGTCGTTGGAAAGGAACTAAATCTCGCTAATAAACTTACTGCAAAAGTTATATCTGGTCGAGTATTATTTCGTAAGATACATTAGTGCCCTAGTTGCACTAAGATATGAAGTTTCATCACCAAGAAGCTCTCCATCATTTTCATGAGGTCGGAATGGATCTTTATTTATATCAAGTGATCTCATAACCATCGTGTACTCAATGGATGTGCTTTATCCATATAAAAATGCTTTAGGATCTTTACGGTATAAGTTCATTGATGGACAAAAATTCCATCTTTCATATGCTCAATTTTAGACCAAAACAAAATTTTGTCTTTCCAAGATCTTTCATTTCAAACTCTTTCTTCAAACAGTCTACTGCTTTTGGAAGTTCCCAGGAGTTCCAATGATGTTTAGATCATCAACATACACAGCGATTATAACAAAATTCAGATCCAAATCTTCTTATAAATATATAAGGACAAACTCGATCATTCTTATACCCTTCTTTCAGCAAATACTCACTAAGGCAATTATACAACATTTGCCCTGATCGTTTCAATCCGTATAAAGATTTTTGAAGCTTTATTGAACAAGTTTCCCGAAAACCTTTATTAGTTTCAGGAACTTTAAGCCCTTCAAGGATTTTCATATAAATTTTGTTGTCTAATGTTCCATACAAGTAGGCTGTGACAACATGCATCAGACGCAGATCAAGTTTTTTATGGACTACCAAATTTATAAGATACCTGAAAGTGATTGCATCCACCACAGGAGAATATGTCTCCTTGTAATCAATGCCAGGTCTTTGCGAAAATCCTTGTGCCACAAGTCGTGCTTTATATCTAACGACTTCATTTTTATCATTTCATTTTCGCACAAAAACTCATTTGTATCCCGCTGGCATTATTCCTTCAGGTGTTCGGACTACACGTCTGAATAATTCACATTTTTCAAGTGATGCTAATTCTGCCTGGATAGCGTCTTTCCATTTTGGCCAACCATTTCTTTGTCTATATTCATCAACAGATCTTGGTTCAAGATTCTCATCTTGTTGCATTATCTCAACAGTAACATTATAAGCAAAAATGTTGTCGACAATAATATTATTTCGGTTCTACCTTTTCCCATAGAGACATAACTTATTGAGATCTCTTCATTCTTATTATTTTCAGGTACATGGACCTCCTCTGAGGTCTTATCATTTGTTATGTCATGGGGCGCTTTTCGGGAAATTGCTTCCATATTATGATCTCCTAGATCATTTGCTCCTTTTCGCTTTTAAGGATTTTTATCTTTGGAACCAATTGGTCTACCACGTTTCAAGTGTAGCTTAGACTCATTTGTATTTATGGATTGTCCAACCGGGGACATCAATTCAAATAGGAGCATTAGCAACTGGAATATGTGACTTAGTCACCCTTGATATATTAGTGAATGCATCTGGCAGTTGATTTGCAATATTTTACAAATAAATTATCTTTTAAACCTCTTGTTCACATTGATTTGTTCGAGGATCTAAATGAGATAGTGATAATGCATTCCAATCTATCTATTTTTGAAATTGCTTATTTTCTCCCCCTAGTATTGGATATACTTGTTCATCAAGATGGCAATCAGCAAATCTTGCCGTAAATAAATCTCCAGTCATAGGTTCCAAATATTTTATAATAGAAGGAGATTCATACCCAACATATTTCCCCAATCTTCTTTGGAGTCTCATTTATGTGCGTTGTGGTGGAGCAGATGGAACATATACTGCACATCCAAATATTCTAAGATGGGAAATTTTTGGCTCATGACCAAAAGCCTATTGTATAGGTCAGACTTTATGATAACTTGTGGGTCTGAGCCGCACAAGAGCTGCTGCATGCAAAATAGCGTGGCCCCATGCCAAAATGGGAAGTTTTGTTCGCATAAGCATTGGTCTAGTAATTAATTAGAGGCGTTTGATCAATGATTCCGCTAGACCATTTTGGGTATGAACATGAGCAATTGGATGCTCAATTGGTATCCCAGTTGATATGCAATAATCATTAAAGCACTGGGACGTAAATTCACCAGCATTAGATGAAGTGTCTTAATTGAATAATTTGGAAACTATGATCTTAATCTTATTAATTAAGCTAGTAACCTCGTAAAGGCTAAATTGCGGGTTGATAACAAGCACACATGTGACCATCTTGTAGATGCATCTATCTAAACCATATAATATCTGAATGGTCCACATGGAGGGTGTATGGCCCCACATATATCATCCTAAATACATTCCAAAAATACATGAGATTCAACTCAACTTTAATTATTGATGGTCTAATAATCAGTTTGCCTTAAGGACATGCAGCACAAGAGAATCCTTTAGTTTGAAGAATCTTCGGGTTCTTGAAAGAATGACCATGTGAATTCTCAATTATTTTGTGCATCATATTATGACGGGGATGGCCCAATAAGTCATGCCAAATAATAAAATCATCAGTAAACTCCTTGTTTACTATGGCATGCAATTCAAATACACTAATACTAATGTAATATAATCTGGAGAAAAATGCGGGTAGCTTTTCAAGTACATGCTTCTTTTCTGCTTTTATTGTAGTAATATAATGGTACTCAACCTTTCCTTCATTGGTGGTCTCAATATGATAGTCATTTTGGCGCATATCTTTGAAACTCGACAAGTTTCTTTGAGACCTACTAGAATATAATGCATCATTAATAGCCAATATAGTTCCTCCAAATAGTAATACAGTCGCTCTTCCAGAGCCCTCAATTAATTTTGTACTACCAGATATTGTTATGATATTGGCTTCTTTCATAATTAAATAAGAGAAATATCTCTTATCTTTTGATATGGTGTGGTAGCACTATCCATAAGACATATTTCTTCTTTATTATTCATACGACCAACGGAAGACTGGAAAGTTTTCATATTCTTCATAAAGAAAAAATAATTACATCATAAATAAAAAATTTAATAACAAAAGAAACTATATTTAGGAAAGTAAATACTGACAACATAAAAAGTTTTATTCAAAATATGAACTTCATAAAAAAATAGATTTATTCTTATAATTTTTTCCAATAATAAGTCTTCATTTATGATGCTCAAAAAAGTCTCCAGCTTCTAAATGAATAATATCCGCAAGGCCTTCAAAAATATCATCTTTATTTGCAAGGTTTGCTTCAACTTTATCACAATTATTCATAGGGCCCGCCGCAACATCATTTTGCAAGGTCTAGTGCGGCAGGCTTCATGATTTTTCATTATAAGTGCATTATGTTGTTCAGCCACCAAAAGGCATGAAATTATCTCAAAATTTCTTAAAGCCCTTTTCACGGTATTGTTGCTGTAACACTATATTTTAGGTATCAAAAGTTAAAAGAGTCTGCTGCAACATGTCCTCATGATTCATAAGTTCCCCATATAATTTTAGTTGGGAAATTAGTCTATATACAGCAGAATTATATTCACTTATGGTCTTATAATCTTGTAGCCGAGTGCATCCACTCACGACGAGCTCTTGGTAATACCGTGGCCTTTAGGTGGTCATATCGTTCCTTCAAATTAGTCCATAGTTGAAATGGACCTTTCAAGGTTAAATATTCACTTTTTAACCCTTCATCGAGATGATGACGAAGGAAAATCATGGCTTACGCCTTATCCTGACTTGATGCTTCATTTTCTTCTTTAATAGTGTCACCAAGACCTTTAGCGTTAAGGTGAATTTCTGCATCAAGTACCCATGGCAAATAGTTATTGCGAGAGATGTCAAGTGCCACAAATTCAAGCTTTGGCAAATTCGACATAATGAAAACTATGATAGGAAATAAGTGAATTAGAATGATAAGAATTATCAGCAATGCATATCATTTATAGTTATAGGGTAGTATACTAAATCGTAAAATTAAGAGAACATGTGTTTTTACTTCATTATGTATCATAATAAATTAATGCATAATCTTTAATTATACTATGTATACTGAATGCAATCGTATAATTACTAACTTCAATAAGCTTAATTAGTAAAGCATCGTTTATGTCGATTACTTAGTTTACTAAAATATAAAACATTGTAAGGTAAACTAATACGATAAATATTTTCACCCATGTGCAAGTTTCACAAAATAAAATAAAAATTTTGAAATAGAAAATGAAGAAACGAGTATAATTCAATAGCATCTTTATTCTAACTATCTGCTAATTCTTTACATTAAATATTTAACAGTTGGTTGTATACTTTATCTTTACCAAAGACTAAACTAGGAGCAAATAGAAATTAGTGGAACATACTTTCAAAATTGAAGCTAGCGCAAAACCGAAGTTAGCCTTCTACCGTATAGCTTATATATATTAAAACATTGCTAAGAATAAAACTCTAAATACATACCGGATGAAAAAGTAGACTCAACTTCAAAAGACGGGAATGTAATTAGAGCCCCGTGGAGCAGGTAAAGTAACTATGATTTGAGCGCGTCGTGTAACATGTTAAGAAATGAGAACAAAATAGAACAATATAGTAATAGAGAGAAGATATATAGGAGGAGAATGTAGAAGCTATCTTATTCAAGTATATTTCTAGTGTGTACTTCATAGGATAAAGAGTACCCTATTTATAGGATATAAGATACATGGAAGATTACAAGAATACACCTAAAGGTTACAAATATTAAGTGATGAATTTACTAAGTACATGAACTCAAATGGTTCATGGAACATGGATGTTTTTAGGAGTATTCAATGGACATCCACTTTGAACATATTCATAACATAAGTACTTTATTTGTTCATGTTCTTTGTTTTTTGGAGTAATATTTTAAGAGATGAATGTATAAATCGCATGTCTCGTGTTGTAATATCACAGATATGGGTCAGGTTTTAGGACGAGCTTCCTCCGATTGAACAGTTTGAACTTTGAAATATGATTTTTCCATAAAATCCAACTCTTTCTGAATATTAAATTTAAGACAAGAGATTCCACATTAAGTGGAAAGAGTATAAAATCAGACGTATTAAGATAACTAACAATGCGACAGAATAAAAAGAAACCATACCATAACAGGATATGCATACCTACCCAAAACATTTTGTTGAAGAATTGGGTAGGAGCCGCGCGAACGCGGACTACCACAAATTATGACGTAGGCTCAACCACTTAGGTCCTCCAAAGTGCAATGGAGGTCACTAGCCTAGGCCATGGGCCTTACTGATCACCCATTGACCCATCCAGATAAGTATGTTTCCACGAGCTCATGCCAATGCTTTTATATCTTGCCAGCTCCTTTCATTCATTTGTCTTATTCGATGAGGGACATCACACATTTAAATTAGTGACCTTTCTCAACTCACATTGAAGAAACATGAGACATCAATCATTGAGCAGATCAGACTCAGCAATTGTTGAAAAAATGCAGATGTGATGTTATGAATGAAAATAACATCTTGGAGGACGTATTGGGAAATTTAGCAAGTTATGTGTGGGACCCAGATTAGAGAATGTTTAAATAGCAGTAGGTTAATAAAATAAAGTACAAGATTGTATTGTGAAATTCCTTTCCCCTCCTCTCTGAGTCTATCTTCTCACCCCCTTTCTATTTCTGTATCTCTCGCTTCTCTTCCCCTTGTGGTTATGTTCCCTTTGTTCCTCTAATTCTATTCGTAATTCTTGCTTCCAGTGTAATTCAGTTTACTAACTATAATATACAAGTCTGTGGTTGTGTTAAGAAATTGGATTCATAATATTGGTGCTTTCATCGTTCGTACTCCAGTCCCAATGGTGATTTTAGATAAATTCAGCGGGGGCGACCTAGAGGAGTGGATTTTTGGGGCTGAACGATACTTCATCTTTCGTGGTTTCTCTGAGAAGGACTGGTTATTTCTCGCTTACCTCTACCTTGATGTCGATGCATGGGCTTGGTTCGATTGGCTATATCGGAATAATCAATTTTGGGATTGGAAGCATTTCACAGAGAAGTTAATCATGCATTTTCGAAAGCGAGACATTGTAGATCAGCTATGGCGTATAGCCGTTACTGCACCGGCTCGTGGAGACTATGTTGGTTATCCTATCTCGATTCCGACAGAAGCGAGTGTATCTTCCTTTGCTGCTCCGAGCCATAATTCCAAGTTCCAACTTGCATAATTTTGCATCTGGAAAATCAGACACACAACACGTGTTCAACGAAACACTTGCAACAGCAAGTCCCAGCATTCATTTTCTTTCCATAGTAAGTTCAATTCCTTATCTACAAGTCCTTGAATTTCATGCTTCTGATGCTCGAGTATCTCATGAAGACAAGTCCACCATTGACGAAGACAAGGTGTTTGATGAAAGTCCCCAGTCGACCACGACAGCTGTAGCACATGATGATATTTCGGAAATCTATATTTCCCCTATGGTTGATGAAGAACCAGATTTTGAATCCTTGAATAAGCATACAGACTTTGTAGACGCAACAAAGGCTCTTTGTTTGGCTCAAAAGTTAATGATGTACTTTGCAAGCGATAAAACAATCAAAAAACAGAGAGGGGTAAATCGTAATCAAATATAATAAACCTAGAGATGCAAAGATGATAATATTGTTGTAGATCTAGTGTTGCAAAAAATAGTAATGTATGTTCACAAGATATTTTCGTCAGACGTAGAGAGAGAGAGAGAAAGACAGAAAGTGAGAAAGTAGTATTAGATCCCCCCTTTTACAATGTGGAGGTCCCCTTTATATAATAGGAGACCTTCTTCGAAAGAATCAAAAAGTTACAACGATAGGTAACGTCTCCCTAATGTAGACGCCGAGTTCTAAGCGACGTCGCTTTGGTCCTTACGGCCGAGTCGTATCTGCTACGTTAGTCGGCGTACACTCATGGGCGTACCTACTGGCATAGAGATACTGAGGGTCAAATTTGACCCTATACAGTTAGTCCCTCCGCTCGTTGGAGACGCATTTGGTGGGCATCTTCGGCGGGCGAAAATGCGAACCTCGTCTTGGGAGAATTTGACCTCGATTGGGGGCGGCAATATGAATGAAGTGAAACATTTGACGCTATCGAGCCGCTGACGCGCGACTTCCTTTTTGGAATGATGTCATCGCCTGTACGCATCATCATTATGTTTGTCCCCGAGGCGGTTCAGAGGATGAAGTGACGTTTTGGTTTCCGGCGCACGTTTTGAATCATGACTCTTCGATTTCTGTGCAATTTATCCTTATAAGTATGAGAAAGGTTTGATCTGATTCCACTTTCAAAACTCTGGAAAGTATTTTCTGATACATCCCTTTGCCTTTCTTTCCTGTAAACATTATTTCGTGAAGGACTTTCCCACTTCTGTTGAAATCACACTTCCTTTTGTCAGTGCTTCGTTTCTCAAGTAGTATTATCATGGCGAAACGCGGACAAACTAATAAAAAGGCCAAGGATAATATCCCGTCTAGGGTTCCGCCATCTTCTGGTGGTGAAGGGGAAAAGGCGGAGAAGGTCCTTGTTCCTCTCAGCGTAGACAACGTCCTTCCGAAGGAGATGCACGTTCGCAGGGATTTTCCGACTAAAAGCCCTGATCTTCCCTGGGAGCACAACGTTTTGCTTCAATCCCATTTAGACGAGTTGCGAGAAACGCACCGTATTCCTGACCATGTGGATATGGTTCCGGCCGGAACGGATTATGTCAATGTGCACCGGCCTGGATATTGCGCCTTCTACGAGTATCCGTTCTTGGTTGGTTACGACCTTCCAGTCTATAGTCTGGTGGAGGAGCTTTGCCGCTTTTACAATGTGTGCCCGGCCCAGCTCACTCCTTATACTTTGAAGGTGTGTCGCATCATGACCACTTATGCGGCCAGGGCTGGGTGCAGCGTCTCAGTCCATCACCTCTTGCAGTTGTTCAGCGCTGGCTACCTGAGGGGTACCATGCTGCAGTTGAAAGGTCGTGGCGGAAAGGGCTTGGTTGTTCGAGCCGACGATAAGCCCAACCGCCGTTTTTGGCGTAAATACTTCTACATCAGGATGGAGCACCTGGTGTCGAATCCCGAGGGTTTCCCGGAAAAATGGAATCCCGAACGTGAGTGTTTCTATTTGTAAATTTCAGTGCCGCTTGCGCTTTTGACTATACGGCCATTGTGACCTTTGTTTTTCTTTCTCTTTTTTATTCGCAGCGAGGGCCTCTCCACCCCAGCTTGTCGATGACATTAAACCGTGGGTGGGAAGAATAATACCCTATGCGAAGGAGTGCCGCACCTGGGCTGCCTTTCTTCGACAGTACGGCCCGTCAGGTAAAAATTTTTGGCTGCTGTTTGGGGATTCCTTACGTCTTCGTTACCTGACTTGTTCATTTTTGGCAGGTCGGAGCGCCTCTAAGAAGAAGAAAAAGAGAGTCGTCACCTTACCTAGGGCGGGGACCGATTCTGAAGGTGGGTTCATACCCTGCGGTTCGCCCAGTGATGACGCCACAGAGGTTCCTCAACCGCCGCTTGTGGCGACGTCCGCGAGGGGAGCGACTCCTTTGATGCCGTCCCCTCGAGTTGTGGAGGGGTCCTCCAACAGTGAGGAGGCGCCGGAAAGAAAGAGACGTCGGTTGATAACCGGCAAGGGGGTAGCCACGGTAGATGAGGGGGCGAGTGAGGCTCATCGGGAGTCGTGGCCTATTTTTATGGCGGATGCCATCCGTTCGGGGAGGTTGGCTCCCTTTAGGGGGGCTGTTCCTGACGCCGGGCCACCACGCATTCCGGAAGTCGGCTCGTCGGCCGTCGTTGGAGAGGCGGATGATGGTGCCGAGAGGATGGGCCCTGAGGTCGCCCAGGCAGAGGTAGAAGCGTCAACGCGGGGTCCGGCCCGCGTTGGGATTACGGTAGGTAGATCCAACCGTCGAATTCTGATCCCGGGGGGGTATAACCTGTTGCAACACAGTGAGCAGGCCGCAGCAGACATGACCCTACTTTGTGCGGCCGCTGAGCGTGAAACGTTGCAAGGGGTTAGCGACGGGGAACTATCCCGGAGGGTTGCCGGTGCGGCCTTACAGGTACTTTTCGATTCTCTTCATCGTAAAATAAATTTTGATACACGCTGACTTGCCCTTCATCCTTTTTCTTTAGACTCTCATTCTGGAGATAGAGAGGGGGCGGCGAGCGCAGAGGAAGGCGGCCACCTTCAACAAGGTGGTGAAGAAGTATCGGCGGTGCCGGGTCAAGCATCAAGCGCTGGCGGACCTACTCAAGCAAGACCCGGAATTTTGGGTTTTTCGTGAGGGTTTGGAGGAGTCGGAGGCTCAGCTGAGAAGGAGGGTGGCCGAATTAGAGCAGGTTGATGAGCAGCTGATGGCCGCCTTGGCCCGAAATATTGAGCTGGAGACTCTTCTCCTGTCTAAAGACGAAGAGTTGGAGGTGGGCCGGGGGGTAGCGGCGGAAGCTGCTGATTTGCGGGTTAAGGTTGTCGCTCTGACCTCCGAACTTGATGCCAAGGCGGTTGAGGTTGAAGTCCTCAAGCGGACTGCTGCGTCAAGGCCCGATGAGGATGCGCATCGTGATGCGCATGACATGTGGGTATACGCCGAAGCCAGATTGGCCATCTTTCGAGGAGTTCTTAGCTGCGGATCGAGCCACCGAGG